GATGTGGTGGAAAGGCGCGAGCGGACGGCCGGTGCGGGCGCTTCTCTGTTTATTCTGCGCCGTTCCGGCCGTTTGGCGCGGCCGCCGCTCCACTCAATACCTAGTCCATCGGCCGCCAATCGATGCGATGCACTGCGGCAATTACCGGCCAGTGCCGATGGCGCTCAGATGGAGAGTATTACCAGCTGAGCGGGCCACTTACACGGCCCCCTCCCCCTCTTCCCCTCCCCTCCTTCCGGCTGGGAAGCGCGGACACCGGTTAGCGTGGTCTCGCAAGGTTTCACTCCAAGAAACCACTGCGCGTGTATGGTGACAGGGCCTGCGCAAATATCGCACTCTTTCCCAATTTATATTCTTCTAACCGCTGCAAGTCATTATTCTGTTATGGTTGTAGCAGCTTGATGAAGGGTGCTGTAAGGCTGACAGTTATTGTACGCGTAATTCTAACTTACTGAGGCTTGCGATATTCGCTTCACAAAGCTGAGAAAGGCGTGATTCTGATGTGCTGTCGAGTCCACATCCCATGGTCCTCTCCTGGACTGGTGGCCTCCCGAGAGTCCCACACCACGCGGGGCTGTCCTCGCCTTGACGCGTGCCGGGGTGAGGTCGGCCGCCGGCTCGGCGAGGGGCCCGCGGGTCCCCACGCCAGCCGCCTCAGGCCGGGTCGTGCGGCCACAGCCGGGTCGCCCCGTGGAGCCGACCCGGCTGTGGCCGCCCCGATCTGGCTAGCCCCGGTGTGACCGGGGCTGCTCGGTCCTCGGAAGACCCTAGCGGACCGGAGAGGGACCCACGCGGAGGCGAGACGGAGCCACGCCGGGGCGACGCCCGGCCGGCCGCGTCGCAGTCCGGACCTGTGAGGTGATTCCCGGCACAGGGGGAGGGGGCAAGCCTGATATCGCGTCTTTGGTGGGCTGCTGGTAAGGTCCGCGACTTCTACCAGCACTTGGTTGAACACGCGATTACCTGCATTATCGGTTAAAGGCGGCTTTTCAAGCCACCCTGTACGCTGGTCGATCGAATCACGTGCTGTTCGAACGGTCTTCAGAGGCCCACAGGTGTTCGCTGCCATTGAGCCTTCTGTATGCGATCAAATTGGATCTCTTGCCAAGGCGAGTGCTGTGCTTTAATCCAGTGTGTTTACGCCTCGGCGCTGTAGGGGCACCGTGGTGTGTCGAAGCGCCGTTTCAAAGTAAATGGAGGCTGGTGCTGGAATCCACTCGGGCAGAATTGATTCCGAATCCGAATCTGAGTCAAAGCGAATGTTGACAGTTGGAATTTAATTCGAATCTGACGCTAGCGCAGCAGAAATTTCCGAATTCGATACCGATTCAAGTTTTTGTCGAACAACAGGCGGTGGGATACCGGCAGTGTAGTGGTTAACAACCGCTGCGCGTCTAGGAAACCAGAAGTACGGGGTTCGATTCCCCGCGGTGCCCGCCCTCTCGCCAGGGTGAGAAGCAGGCGATGCCATATAACTAGTAGCTGGGTGCGTCGTAAAGCCCCAACGACAGACACAGCAGGCGGTAAATTAATGCGCATGATGCATCATGCACAAGCAAACGTACACGTAAGAAGTGTGTGTGTGTGTGGTGTGTGTGTGTGTGTGTGTGTGTGTGTGTGTGTGTGTGTGTGTGTGGTGTGTGTGTGTGTGTGTGTGTGTGTGTGTGCGTGCGTGCGGCGTGCGTGCGTGCGTGCGTGCGTGCGTGCGTGCGTGCGTGCGTGCGTGCGTGCGTGCGTGCGTGCGTGCGTGCGTGCGTGCGTGCGTGCGGCCATAGATATGGTTCAATAGGTATCGCAGCTTGTCAATCGGTAGCAATGGATGCAACAACGCACGCTGCTATCATGTATTTATATGAAGGAACAGGAACACAACGCTTGCTGATTAAGCATGATGCCTTAATGCATACATGCTCATATATCTGGGAACTGAAGGCGCCGGAAGTCCAAGGTATTAGGACAGACTTTGCTGCCTTACAGGCCATGAAACTTGTGCAGTAGTAGGTTAACTTAACGCATAGATCTCAGAGACTGGCACAAACATTTTGTGAATCGCGTAATTTCAAAGCGGAATCCATTAATTGCTGAATGCGTTCACAAGCCATGTGAATTAATTCCGAATCCAACGCAGCGTACGAAGTGGAATCCTAATCCGATTCAGTCCAGAACGAGCCCAATTACCGAACCAGATTCGATTCTTCTGGAATCAAACGCAAGTCTGACAAGCAGTGCCTAGTCTGAGCATGAAGCTGCTCATCAGCGGTGCAGGCGACAGAAGGAGCGCGGCTGGTTGGATCGCTCGGCCACCGCCGCTGGTGGAAGGTTGTGGGTTCGGGCCTGGACGGGAGTCCGGTGTTCCGTCGCTCAACCGCGGGCCGTCGGCGTGGCAAACGTGGACGACAGGTGACCGGAGAAGGTGGACGTGTCGCTAAATCATCCGAGCATCAATCTTTGGCCCATGCAGCGCGGGCTTGTCTCCGACTCGGCACCAATTAGGCCCGGAGTCGCAATGGGCACTCGCAAAATGATTGATCAGCGCCCCGAGATGGGATATTACCCCAATAGCTCCGCTCATTTGTCTCCTATCGACAAGCGATCGCAGCGCGCAGGACGCGTTTGACCGAGCTGCTGCCGCCGGTCGCGGCGGGGACGTCGTCGTCCAGCGCTCCCCCCTCCCCCGCGGGCACGTTGGCGCCACGTCGCACCGCTCGGCAGTGTGGGGTGCCGTCGCCCGCCGCCCGTCGCCCGCCGCCCGTGCCAAATCAGTCGGCATCCGGCCGAGGCGGCGCCTCATTACCGGGGGCCGGCCGGCCGGCGCGGCGGCGGCGGCGGCGATCATGCACTGGATGTGCTGGCTTCCACCGACGACCAGGGACCGGTGGATCGGGAGGATGGTGCGGTCCGCCAGAGGTGTGGTCTGCCATCGGATCACTCGGCCCGTGGTTCGAACCCCGATTACACTGTCGCCCTTGAACGCTCACATGGCCTCTACAGTCGCGGGCGATTCATAACAGGGGCAGTGGTGGCAACGTGCGTCGCGTTCTCATTTTATTCAAGCATAGCTGCGAAAGGTGCTGGATGTCATCCGTTCACATCCGCCAGGGGTACTGTATGCCATCCGTCCACTACGCGAGTGGTGGAGTTTACCATTTTTTTTCGTCCACTCCGCCAGTGGTGCTGTATACCACCCGTCCACTCCGCCAGAGGTGAGGTATACCATTCATTCACACCGCCGGTGGTGCTGTATATCGTCCGTTCATTCCGCCAGTGGTGCTGTATACCACCCGTCCACTCCGTCAGCAGTGGGGTATACCATTCATTCACTCCGCCAGTGCCGCTGTATACCTCTGTTCGCTCCGCCAGTGGTGCTGTATATCATCCGTTCATTCCGCCAGTGGTGCGTGCCAGAGGCGTAGTTTCCTATCCAGTTGATGAAACTTCATCCCTCCTCCCAACTCGAACCTCAGGCCCCCCCCCCCCCGAACTATCCCTTCGTTTGTTTTTTTGGGGGGGTGGGGGTAAAATTACATAATTTTCACCGTTCAGTTCCTAAGTCATTTTGCAAAAGTATTTCGCACCTTCGCTGTCTTCGCTGGTGCGGTCTGTCATCTGCCCAGTGCTCACGCCGCCCATTGCGGACGATAGACCGCACCGATGATAATCCGCCCAGTGCGGCTGATAGACCGCACTGTGGATAATCCGGACAGTGTGGCACCGGCCTGATCTGCCGTACCCTCACTCAATCAGTGGTATCCGCTCACTCCTCCAACTCTGTGGTGCGGTGCGTACAGAACGGCCACGTCGAAGGGGTTCGGTCTGTGACCGTTCCACTCCGCCACCGGATTCGTTGTGTCGCCCTTCCCCGCAGCTGTGATCACTGACCACTCACGAACTGAAGAGCTGTCTGCGGCTGACTAAAAGGCGCTCGCGACTGTTTCACGTTTCCGTCATCAATCGGCACAATAGCAAAGCGACATCCGAGTCGATGCCTGGCGGCCGGCGACGCTGCGTGTACGTTGAGAGCGGTCAAAGGCGGTGTGCATGCAGGAGCGGAGAGCTATTGGCGTCTGGGGAATGGGTCGGCTGTGTGTGCCGTGCCGGTCGGCCCCCCGCTGCAGCCGTGTTTGTTCAGTGATTTCCTAGGGCGTGGTTCGGTCATTCTACAGACGCGAGGCTTTGTTTAGCTGCATGCGATTGACTGCTGCCGTACTCCGCAACATTGCTACTGCAGGCTTTTGGGACCGCCCGGAGTCGTCGCGTTGCGCCGGACGCCCCTCAGATATTTCTGTAAATGCTTCTGCACATTGCCTTCCATACTGATACTCCCAGTGGTCTTCCTTTGCTATTTGCATTCGCGTCGAGCTTCTCCGCACGGGGCCAATTTTCCTCGATCAAACACCAACGTTACCTTGTGGTGCACGTAGACGCCAAAGGCTGGCGGCAGCGAGCGGCGCTGAGGAGGCGGCGGCCGACTGGCCGGCCGGCCGGCGAGTGCCGCGGCCGTCGCCGCCCGTGAGCGGCTGTATCGGAGAGCAGCCTGATCCGGAGCGCCATCATCGATCGCGCCGCCTGGCCCGACGGGCGCCAGGGTCGCCCCGGTCCGGCCCGGCCCGGTCCGCGGCCCGCCGCCGATGTCGGCGCGGCGCGGCCATGGCTCAATCACCGGCTTTGCCCAGCGGCGACTCGGGAAATGCCACCGCGACCGGGAACTGGGCGGGAGAGGGCTCGCCGCTGCGCGGGCTGTTTTGCGGGCCGAGTCGAGTGTGTCATTAGTGTGGTGATTTATGCCCGCCTGTTATTCGGTGCGTGCTGCCTTTGCAGACTGCTCTTGTGTCGCCGCTGTGGATTGTTTGTGAAGCCAGTTCCGACGTGATCTTTGTTCTGTATTTGAGATTCAGCTCGGGCCTCCGGGCCGAGTAGTGCTGACAGAGTCGTCATCTCGCCGGTCGTGTGTCGGCAGAATACGGCATCCTGTTGTGTAGTGTTCACGGTCCGTTTCGACATCGTGTGTGCGAGGCTGTCCCCACATCCTTCCCGTATCGCGCTGGCAGAGGCAACCCCCAGTGTGTCTGTCTGTCTGTCACAGGCCGCCTGTCGTGTTTACAGAGCCAGTTCCGGTTCGAGGCGGAGAGCAACGACCGCCTGTCAGAGAACCACAGACGGGTGAGTGAAGGCCGTCCCGTCGCCGCCGCCGCCAGCCCGGCACCGGACCCCCGGCGCGCCCCGTACCCATGGCTGACGTTACCACCCCCTCCCCGCCCCCCCCCCCCCCCCCCCCACCTGACACCAGGCGGCACCGAGGAGCTGAGAGGGTCTGAGCTCGGCCGCGCCCGAGGGGGAGACGGGGCCGAGCCCTGCGCCGGGGCTCATGACGGCGTCCAGAGCGCTGCCCGGCCGGCGGGCGGCCCAAGTACAGCCGCCGACGTCCCGTGTCGTGCCGAGTGACGCTGCGGGGGCGGCGAGTAATGAGCCGAGCGACGATAGGCGGGGGCGGCGCGGGGCGGGGCAGGAGCAGCGGCTCCTGCTGGCGTGCAGTCGGTGATAAGGATTGTGCTGGCGTGTGTTTGGTTTGATTGAGCACATAGGGGAAACACGGCCGTGTGATGCACGGCACGTACGGTTATGGCATACGTGTTCAGTGATAGTTCATGGTGTACCCTGCTGGTGCTGGTCTCTATCTCGAGACGGCCCGGTGTTTTTTTTACCCGTTGCAAGTTCATCTGGATTGCATGTTGCGTGTGACTCATTGTACACATCCCTCACTTACTTGAGATACGGGTGAGGATTGTGTTGTACACTCTGACGCTGTCTCCCTCCACTAAGCTGGTTATTTCTAGGTGCGGCCGCCTAACTCGCCCCCGCTCCTCCGCGCCCAGGTGCTGTACGACGGCAAGATGTCGGCGGCCATCGTGTTCATGTACAGCGCCGCCGCCACCGACGGCCAGCTCTGCCTGCAGTCGGCGCCCAAGGGCAACCCCTCCTACTTTGTCCACTCGGCACACGGCCTCATGCGCCAGGCGAGTGGAGTGTCTCGCGCTTGCGCTCGCTCTGGGCCCAGTCACACGGATGACAGGCACGCCCCCGTCAGCTTATGACGTCGCGAGGAAAACACGCCCGCGCCGGCCGAGAAGCGAGTCACAGCGCTGGCGCACGGACTGTGAGCACGTCACACGCCCTTGGAGTCCCTGAGAGGGTCTCTAACTGGACTTGGACTTCTCCGTACCGCCGGGCTCACTCTCGAAGAGACTCTGGGGAGATCGTCCGAGTTTTGCATCACAATTGGCATAATAGTGCCAGCATTTGAGCAGAATTGGTGGGACGGCGCGAAATGGCAACGGTGCTCATTTCTCATTCCGAGAAGATATGGTGGGTGCTGTCAGGAGACAGCGCGGCATCGCACACGGTCTGTTCGTGCCTCTCGGGGAAGAGAGCGGTACCAGGGACGGCGACCGGCCGCGCGGGCGTGGAGTGGGGGACAAGTGAAGCGCGGTGAGACGGTCTCGCTAGAGCCGCCTGCACGCGGGTGTGGGGTGGGGGACGAGTGAAGCGCGATGGGACAGTCTCGCTAGAGCCGCCTGCACGCGAGTGTGGGGTGGGTGACGAGTGAAGCGCGATGGGACGGTCTCGATAAAGCCGCCTGCGCGCGGGTGTGGGGTGGGTGACGAGTGAAGCGCGATGGGACGGTCTCGCTAAAGCCGCCTGCACGCGGGTGTAGGGTGGGTGTCGAGTGAAGCGCGATGGGACGGTCTCGCTAAAGCCGCCTGCGCGCAGGCCGCCGGCGCGGTGATCCCCGTGCTCCGCGAACCCGACAGGCCATGAATCGTCGGACATAATTAAGACCAGCTCGGAAGCTGGCCGGCCGCGGGCCGCCGCGGGCCACTGCGGGCCGCCGCTGCTCAGGGTTTCTCCGCGCGGCCAGGTCGCCTGCCGCGCCGCGGCTACAGCGCACCCCTCCCGCCGGTTCGCGCGGTAGTGTCGAACGCTGCGGCAGCGTCAGTCATGGAGGCGCCTTCTGCGGCAGCGGGAAATATCGTAACTCGACACACCGTGACCTCGGAAGCAGTGGGCGGCCTCTGAAGTTGGGGGCGATGGCTCCCGTGCCGTAAAATTGCGTTAGTTTGGCGATCGCTCGGACGTCGTCTTTTCACGTAAGACCTTCACTTAAGTGCCTTCTTTGATTAAGCCAGACTCTGCCGAGTCACGATCGGCCGCCGTATCGGTCCGTTGTGAATCACGAACGGTTGTAGATTGCCTTTATCTTTAGTTTTGCGTCACGTGTCTCAGTCCCGACCCGTGGAGCAGAGCTACACGTGGGCGACCTGTCAAGCAATCGAGCTGCGATTGTTTTGCGTCACGTGTCTCAGTCCTGGCCCGTGGAGCAGAGCTACATGTGGGTGATCTGTCAAGCAATCGAGCTGCGATTATTTTGGGTCACGTGTCTCAGTCCCGACCTGGGGAGCATAGCTACACGTGGGTGATCTGTCAAGCAATCGAGCTGCGACTGTTTTGTGAAAATATCGCCGTCGTTCGTGGCTCTCCTATCCATTTAAACTGAGAGTATCTATGTTGAGGCCGTAGTTTTTACGTCAGGTATCCTTGTCACGCCCTGTGGATGCTTCAGAATAGCCACGGGGCGCAAAGCTGCCGCGCAGCGATATGGTTTGAACGTGAGCCATGTCTTCGCTTCTGTTCACCGGGCCTGGCCAATGGCACGTGCTTTCCGCGTGTATCGTGTTCGCGTTCGGAAGCCGTCCGTGCTCCTGTGTCGTGACGGCCCCCCCCCCCCTCCCTCCGTCTGCAGGACGTGTGCGCCGTGGTCACGCACTCCATCTACGCGACGCTGAACGCCATCGGCGGCATCCAGGTGCTGTTCCCGCTGTTCTCGCAGCTTGACTTGCCCGTGGAGGCGGGCGTGGACGGCACGGAGGGACGCCGCGACCCCTAACCTCTGGTGAGAAAGGGGGAGGAGGGCAGAGCGGTGCGCGGGTGGGACCGCCACCCCCAGCGAGGGAACGTTCCTCAACAGGGACCCTCACTCTGTGAGAGAACATCCCCAAGGGGGCGCCCTAACCTGGGGCGATGCAGCTGCTCACCGGGAACCCCAACCTTTGGTGAGGTAGTAGTTATCAAGGGGGGGGGGGGGGGGGGAGTGGGCTCCAACCTCGTGTGAGAGACCGCTTCCTCTTGGATGCGATCCCAGTCTCGGGTGCAGTAACGCGTCTGGAACGACACGGCCAGGCGGTCTGCGCTGTGCGAGGCCCTTGTTTTCATGCGGTCACCAGAGGACGCTTCATCGACGCGAATGCACTGCTGTGGAGTGTTACCCTGGAAACTACAGGATTACTGCCATAAGCTCCTTTCCGTCGGTTTTGCTCGGGAATAATGCATTTGTGCCACGCAGGCCGGCCGGGGTCGATGCTGAGTCAGACGCCGTCGTGTGCGCCGCTGTAATGATTGTGTACATGCGACTCGTGCATTCAAGCCGCCGGGACTGGGGGTATTTGCTCAGTCACGTGTCAGCAGAGCGGCACTTGGCTGTCGTCGCGGGCCCGTGATCGCGCCCAATCTCGGGCTGCACCACGTCGTGCAGCCAGTTTGTGTCGTAACATAAGTTACGTTCTCGTCGCGTGTGGTGCTGTCCATCGGAATATGGCGCCGATGCCGCCTGGCTCGTTGCCGACGTCACTCTGGGTTTTCGGAGGCCATCGATCAGTTCGGGCGCTGTCGCGCGCTGTGCCCTGGCATTGCATGGGCCGCGTGAAACACGCAGCGATGCCATTAACGTTGCTTTGAACTCGAAAAATAAGTTAGGCGCAATGCCAGGCGCCGGTCGATTTCTGGAGGACGTAGGAATACAAACATTACCACAGACGTTCTGAAGGCTTGTGATTGTCAAATCGTCTCAGTGATTGAGTTTATGTTGACGCTACGCAAATGATTAGTAAAGTTCATTATGTATATATATAATGTTCAAATATTCAGCGAATGCGTATTCATTTGAGGCACCCGTATCGTAAACCAGTTGAATGTGCCGGACTAAGATGTGTTTTTGTCATTACGTTGTGATATCAGTATCCGTCCGGTACCGTGGAGAAGGACCTTCTTTCGCGCTGCTTATGCCGCGACAAATGTGATGGGAACTTTCAAGAGTGTTGCGTGCGTTCTGGAACGAAACGATAGCTGGCTATGATGTTGCTAAATGTCAGTTTTATATTCCGTTTGCATTGCGGCACGCATTTCCCGCATTGTCGGCATAGGTGGCTAGATTTCAAACTGCATTTATGCACATATTCACTTTGCATCTCTAAATAATCATAACCCTTGAAAGGTGCATTTTCAGTTTTGTATATACTTATCAGATCACACACTACGATCACGTAGATCCAACGTGACTTCGCATCGCTAGCCTTTAATTGTCCTTCGAGATCGTGCGCTTCTTCACCGCTTTGACGCCGACTTCGGAACATAACGGTCTCAACGGTGTGAGCGGATGTGATTCGGTTCACCAAGAGACACGCATGTGCCGTGTTGAGTCAGCTCGCTGCGGGCGGCGTGCGCCGTGCACTAGCCCGACCTCTGGCCCTCCGCCGGCAGCGCTACGTTGCTGGGCTTCATCTGCGAGCTGGTGGAGACCTCGGCCGTGGTGCAGCAGCACATGCTGCAGTGCCGCGGCTTCCTGGTCATCTCGCACCTGCTGCAGCGCACCAACCGCGAGCACATGAACGACCAGGTGCTCAGCGTGTTCCTGCAGCTCTCCAAGTACCTGGTCACCTGTCCCGGCACCAACACCGAGCTGCTGCTCAAGCAGGTGGGCGCCGGCGCCACCGACCGGCCCGGCTCGTGACGTAGGAGGCGAACGGTTAGCAGCGCGCTCTGGTCAGCCGGTGGCGTGTTGCTGTGTTGTGTGGTCTTCCAGGCTTCGTGGTTTTCTCGGCTTCCCGACAGCGATGGTGGGTAGGTTTGTTTCAGTGCTACGCCCTTTGAATTGGCCTAGGTAGCGATGCACTCCCAGTGTTGTGCCGAAATAGGGTAGCATTATCAGTTATGTACTTGTCCACCCTCATTGCCGTTCACCCTCTCCACCACTCTCATGCTCTCCCCGCCTGCGCGACACCCGCCCGCGCTCCTGTGCGGCTGGCGCGGTATGCGTGCCGCGTGTGTTCCGCTCCGTCGCGCCTCACCCCAGTCCCGCGTGCCGCCGCCAGCTGCTGGACCACGTGCTGTTCAACCCGGCGCTGTGGGTGTACGCGCCGGTGGGCGTGCAGACCCGGCTGTACGGCTACCTGGCGTCCGACTTCCTCTGCGACACGCACATCTACAACAGCGTGCGGCGCGTGTCCACCGTACTGCAGACGCTGCACACGCTCAAGTACTACTACTGGGTGGTCAACCCGCGCGACAAGAGCGGCGTCACGCCCAAGGCCGTCGGTGAGACACGCGGCAGGGGAGGGGCGTGGTCACCATCCGCCCTGGACGGCCCTGGCTGGGGGTTGGCAGGTGCCGCCGCCGGGCGGGGACAGGTGCTCGGGTCGTCACCGGCACGGCGAGCTCGTGTTGTTCAGCGCGTGGAGCAGAGCTCGGGGGGGGGGGGGGGGGTTTGCGTCATTAATTGGCGCAGGGATCAGTATTGAAGTGATGGTGCCATCGCCGTCAGAGGTACGCTGTGTTGTGCCATGGATCGAGACGGCCGCTTGTGAAAGCGTTCAGCTGGTCTAAACGGCCGTCGATCATATTTAGGAGCGGCCCGGCCAGCCCGGATCCTGTGCTCCGCTGTGCGCGTGTGCCGGCGGACCCGGGTCACGTGAGCCGAGCTGCCGTGCTGGCCGGCGGTCTCCTGCGCCCGCGCCGTCAGCAGGTCACTGTCGTGCGACGGACGCTGACGGGCCGTGCTCTCGCCGCCAGACGGGCCGCGCCCCTCCAAGAAGGACGTGCTGCTGATCCGCTCGCACATGCTGCTGTTCCTGCGGCAGCTGATCCTCATCGGCAACGGCGTCAAGGAGGACGAGCTGCAGAGCATCCTCAACTACCTCAGCACCATACACGAGGTGCGCTGTAAGCTGAGACGGCGTCACCGGACGCAGGCGCCGACGCAGGGACGGGAGGCCTCTCCGGCTCCGGCTGGTCCGACGCCGCCAGCGGCCGAGGTCGCGGCCGGAGAGACCGGGCTGGGCGGTGGTGAGCCGGCGCGGCCGCTGGCGGCCTGTGCCCGCTTGACTCCATCCGGGTGGAAGTTATGTCTCTGAGCTGCAGGTGATGCGTGAACAGGTGCCGAGTTCCACTGTCGCAGCCGAATTTATGCATGTGAGCGCGGGCCCAAGACTACCCCGTGGACGTGGCCCGCAACGGCCTTCCTTGCCCGGTGGCACCCGTCCCATAACGACTGACCGCGATCGTCCCGCCGCCGCCGCCGCCGCCAGGACGAGAACCTGGAGGACGTGCTGCACACGCTGATTGGCCTGATGGCCGACCACCCCGCCTCCATGGTGCCCGCCTTCGACCTCAAGCTGGGCATCCAGTCGGTGCTGAAGCTGCTCGGCGCCCAGTCGCAGACCATCCGGCTGCTGGCGCTCAAGCTGATGGGCTTCTTCCTCTGTCGAAGCACACACAAGTGAGTGGTGACAGGCACGGCTGGCGGCGCAGCGCGGAGGGCGGCGTCAGAGAGAGAGCGGTGCGTCCTTGTCATCGGGTGCTGGTCAGGGGTTGGCTCGGGGATTTCGTCCCAGATTTCCGTTCCAAGGCGACCTCCGCAAAAGGCGAAAACGTGTTATGACATCGTAGTTAATGTCATGTATCCTTTCAAACAGACCTTTATTGACAAGAAAGTGAATGGATGCCCCCAAAATTGAAGTGAAGGCGCACGTTCCGGCTGAATTGAGTTCAATCAAATTCAAAGAATGCATTTGGCGTGAGTTCATTTCGTTCACAAGCACCTGCAGCTTGCGTCATTCACTTCTCAAGGCGTGCGCTGGGTGTTGACGCGCCTCACCAGCCTCGTTGGTCGTTGCAGGCGGAAGTATGATGTGATGAACCCCCACAACCTGTACACGCTGCTGGTGGAGAAGATCCTGCTGAACGAGGAGTCTCTCACCCTGGCCACCTACAACGTGCTGTACGAGGTACGCTCTCGCCACCGCCGCCGGAGTCGGCGCCCGTGTGACGCGGACGAGGCGGGCTGCGCTTGAATGAGTTCTGATGTGTGGTATGCCAGTCGCGCGCCTGCTGCAGCACTGCGTCGGGAGGGAGCCGGCGGAAGCCGGATACGTAGGTCGGCGCCACTGCCTGTGCTCCGCAGCAGGTGTCGCCATGGCACCCACCCGCCGTATATGACGGCAGCTGCCAGCGCGACTTGACATGGGACCTGGAGCTATGAACCGGCAGATTCTGACTGAGCAGAGCATGGCCCCGGGCATGCCGTGCGTGTGATGTGACGCGCCGCGTCCGCCGGCAGATCCTGACGGAGCAGATGACCCAGGGCATCCTGTACGTGCGGCACGCGGAGCCGGAAGTCAGCCACCGCCTGGAGAACCCCAGTACGTCCGCCCGACCCGGGCGGGACGGCCGGGGCGGGTCCCGACGTCCGGGCCCAATGAGGCGTGTGCAGCACGCGGTGTGCCAGCTCTGACGGCACCTCACACCGTCCGCGTGTCCCGCGCTCCGGATCCGCAACACTTCCAGCAGCTGGTCGGTGTGCGTCTTTGAAAGCCAGCTGTTTGGCGCACCGTCTGGTCCGGCTTCCTTTGCGACCAAACTGATGCTGCGCTAGGGGTTAGGGCGGTGTTCTGACGTGAACAAGCCGAGGCGGTCCGGTGACCCGGGTCGGACGGGGCCCCGGACCGCGACCTCCGCCGCAGTGACCTGATGACCTAACGTCCTTGGGTCGTCCGCAGTGATCCTGAAGGTGGTGGCCAGCCTGATCCGCCAGTCCAAGACCTCGGACGGCCTGAT